CCGTTTAAAACACCTAGAACCAGATTTAGTATAATAAATGCACCCAACATCACCAATGAAACATAATAGGTTGACCATAAGTACCCTTTTTTGTCCATGGTGTAAAATGTCTAAAAAAGAATTACTATATAACAATTTATTTATGTCTTATATAGTTATTAATTTCTTTTTGAATATGATAAAATAAAATTAAATCTCATACATTGTTAGTCTATCATGTGCAAGGCCGGCGGGATAAGGGTGTGTAACCCCATCAATGATTTTTAGTCAGCAAATTTGAGGACCATTTTTTTTTTTTTTTTTTTTAGTCAGCAAAAGTTGTAATGGCACTTGATACCCCCCACTTGATACCTACGCCAGCCCTGATCATGTTTTATGTGTCAAGTTTGTTTTATCTAAATGTACAGAAAAAAAACTCAAGAAATTACTGGAAAAAAATATTCAAGAACCGAAACACTATCTATAGAATACACACTGAAAAGGTTTATGCATAATAGTTGCTATTACAACTTTATTAACTTAGTGTTAAAAGGAACCAGGTGTATGTTTCAGTAAAAAGCATGTGTTTTGAGTTTAAGATTTGCTCATAACGTAAAAAACATTAAATTTTTATAACAAACTTTGTATGTGGTGACAAGAATGTGGATGCTGAAGCAGTCATTTATAGATATGATAGGATAAAAAATTGGCTTCTATACTGTGATATAATATTTATACAAATAAACTTATAGAGTTAAGTCAAGATCTTATTAAACATTAAAAAAAGCTTTGATTAATTATACAAAGTCAAATCATTCAACATCATTTATTTACAATATTTGTCCTTATATAAAACTAGAATAAGGTAGAATGTGGAAGTTAAGTTGAAATTTGTAAATTTTGTAATTGTACACTTTATAAATAACAATTAAGATTCAAGATTTTAAAGATTGAAAGAAGTGAAAAAATATTTTAAAAATAGAATAGAACTCTGAAAAGCTTTGCGCGAAAACTATAGGTCTCTAGAGAAAAGAATCTAGATATAGTATAGTAATCAACAGTAGCATACAAAAGGTATACTACTATAAGCATACTGCACCTTCTGCAACCACCACTTCCTCCACAACCTCCACCAACCACTTACTACACCTTCTACTACCACCACTTCTGTCACTACGATCTATTTATAGGAAAGAAAACGTAAAAAGATTAACACTTTAACTTTCAATTTTAATTTTTTATAAAATATTTTAAACGTTGTTTTGAATTGATTACTTATTTGTAATTATAAATAAATTCTAATATTTTCATAAAATTTTAAATAATCTAAAATAAAGAAGACAATAACTTTAAAAAACTAAAAAAAATTAACTAAGTAGTTAAAAATATGTCACAAAAGTTTATTTAAGATAAGATTTAGAACAAAAAGAATTCAAAAATTTTGTAAATGAGTTAATGATATGTTTTGCTGATTCTGAAAAAGATATTTTTGTCACTATCACTAATCTTCCAGAATGAGGCACATCAACAACATCAAGTGTAAGTTTCCAGCAGGTTTGGCCAGGCAATTTCATGTTATAATATGACCACGCAAATATTCTGTGATTTTGAAAACATGACCACGGCTGTTAATATGTTTTGAAAGTTTATATCAGTTATTTGTTTGCTTCTTTAACTTATTGTTAAAGAAGCAAACAAATCTTCATAAATAAAATAACAAAAAATAAAATTAAAATAACTTAACACTAAATTAAAAAAACTAAAACTAAAAATTAAAATAAAAAATAAACTATAATGATAAGATTATCTAAATTACGTTTGGAATATTTAACTTTGAATCGTTTATCTTTACTGATATTTTTATAATATAATATTATGCAAAAAGCTTTTTAAATAAAGTAACAACTTACATCTAATAATTGTTTAACAAATGCCCACATTTAAAAGTTAAAAAAAAGATTCTGAACAATTTGTCGTAGTAACGTAAACAAAAGAAATAATAATTAAATCATTTATTTAAAAAGATGATATAAGTTTTTTTTTATTTAAATTATAATAAAAAATACATTCTTATATAAATATAAAAAAATATATATAATATTTATTAATATTTTTGTAAAAAAATTATTAGCAGTGATTTGTTACTTCATTTAAATGCATTTCAATAATCTAAAAACATAAGTAAAGATCAAAGTTAATAAATTTTGCCTTTTTTAATTTATCGCTAATAATACTAAAATTTTATTTTAATAAATTTTGCTTTTTTTAATTTACTTATAAAAAAAATTTATATATAATTAAATAATATAAATAAAAATTTATACAACTTTCAATAAAACTTTAATTAAGATCATTAGCTACTTTATTTAAAAGCATTTTGCTGATATAAAATTGTTAGTAAAGATAAACATGTCAAAGTTATTTATTTTCAATGTAATTGAAATCAATTTTTTCATCGCATTTGTTAAAAATCATGGTTAAATTGTCAAAACAAAATATTATTTGCGTGGTCATATAAAGATTTTGAATCGCACGCCTTCCTGGCCAAGCCTGCTTCTAATTTTTTAAGGTTAATTGCATGCAAAATTCACAAACACAAATAAGTCTGAATACTTTAATGCTGCTGTTTCTTTGTTTAAAACAACATATTACCATTTGATGCTCTCTGACATTGATTTTCAACCAGTTTGCACGTAAATTAAAATTTAAAATACTGCAGGTTAATATTTATCAATTAGAGCAATCAAAATATTGTTTGTTAATGTTAAAACGTTTTTTTATAGTTAGGCATGATTTTAATAAGGATGCTGAATATTCTGTCATTTAGTTAAAAAAAAACAATAAAAATCAATAAAACCAGAAATTAAAAAATAACTTTTCTAATTTATCTGCTGAGCCTGAGCCTCTCTCTCATCACCATAAAGTTGCATCTCTTTCTCTACAAGTACAATGGTTGCTCATTAAAGGTGTCATCTCTAGTTTTATCAACAAAACTCATTCTCAACTGAAAAATTATTAGAATGCCCTACCCTATTTTGTAGATATAATTAAGAGACAGCCCTTTAATTGCTGTGTTAATCATTCTTTTTAAAAGTAGAAGCAATTATAACATGTTTCTGCCTTGGTCTATTTAATAAATTGGCAATATCATCAATTATTCACATTAAATTGAGAAAATTAAATTTTGACTATTTGATAGCTGCATTTGCTAATAAAGAAAAAGAATCTTTTGAACAAATTTATCAATGCAATAGGTGAAATCTTGATTTAAAATTAATAGTTTATCCAATAAAATATTTATCATTAAACACATGTTTCTCTAGGTCCCTGAAATTTGTAAATCCAACAGTAATTGTAAATACATTTATCAACATATATAAAATTATTTGTTTTTTCAAATAGTTTTTTTGTTTTTTCGAATAGTCTTAATTCAAGTTTTTATTTAATAGAAAATTTGACTAAATCATAGAACTTGTTTGACATCGAAAACAATAAGCTATTTAGTTGTCTTATTCTTGCTAATCAAATCAAAATCATTAAAAAGACTTCAACAATACACACCAAACGCAAAAACAGGGTCACATTCCAAGCATGACATGGTATTAATAATACTCTGATCTTTTACAGCTGTTAATGGAATCCTTTCTGATAGCTACACAGAATTCATGAAACCTTACTATCAGCTGACCATTTTAATGAGTTTTAGATCTATACTCTCATTAGGGGATAACAAAAAGAGTTGCCTAGCCACTAGCAAGGAGGCACAAGTAAAAACCCATGAGCATAATCATGAAGATCCAACATTTATTTTCCTACATAAGAAACAATGTAATACATGTTTACATCTATACCAGCCTATTAGTTAAAGAAGGGGTGTAAGGCTGGTTATCGAAACATTATGCTTACCCCTAAGTCTAAAAACCTAGGAGGCCTCTCTTTAAGGCAGTGTTAATATGTGATGCAAAATGTAAATACAAAAATAAACTGCTGCAAAATAAAATCAATTGATAATTAAATTTACTTTAAAAGTGTAAAAATACTCAATATTTAAAAAGTTTAGTTCAAAAAGAAAGTATTGAAATGTGAAAACTAATCACTTACTTTGTACATAATTTCTGACCATGCATCAGTTGTCACACATTGGAACACTGTTAATACAGCAAAAAAGATGTTGTCAAATGTTTTAATTCCATTGTTAAATTCAAGATTACTTACTACACACGACTCATTTGTTGCACATTTCACACCAGAAACAAAGTATTTAGTAGTACCATTTATAAAACCATCACAAAGCTGGTCTGTAACTATAAAAATAAAAATAAAATAAATTAACTATTTTATTTGAATATATTGATTCTATATAAATCATTTTATAAATATTAAAGTTTAATCATTTTTATAAACACAAGTATTATTTTACTTTTATTAATTTAATAATGGTGTTTTCCTTTTTCTTTTATTTTAACTGCAAATTTGATTTTATTTTGAAATATATTATTACTATGGATACCATAGCAACTAAATATAAAAAGTAACAAACTGTTTCTATTAGTTAAAGATTTTTTATTTGTGTTACATATACTATATTTGGCTTGTGTATTAATATGAGGTCTTATAAAAGTGATTTTTTATGTTTGGTTACTATGATTATTTGATTATATATATATATATATATATATATATATATATATATATATATATATATATATATATATATATATATATATATATATATATATATATATATATATATATATATATATATATATATATAATTCAGTTATGGAGCAAAAGAGTTTATTCAAGAAAAGGTTCTTGGATATTCTTGGATAGTAGTAGATCAACCATGCACAGGTAGTAGTAGATCAACCAAGAGCAGGTATATATATATATATATATATATATATATATATAAATGGTTATTAAAAGAATTTATATATATATATATATATATATATATATATATATATATATATTTATATATATATATATATATTTATATATATATATATATATACATATATATATATATATATATATATATATATATATATATATATATATATATATATATATATATATATATATATATATATATATATATATATATATATATATATATGTATATGTATATATATTGATAGCACATTTGAGGCATATTTCGAGACTGATGGATTCTTTATTAATTTATTAGTAATTTATATAGATAACATATAGATAACAATGCTTAAATAGGTTACTTTTAAGTGTAACAATAGAACAACACAAATAAAATTATTCCAAATCAACATTATGGTAATAAAAGTATAAACACATTCAGCTGTTAAATTAAAGGTTATAAGATGTTCATCTTAAGAATAAACAAGTTTGTCTGTAAACCAAGTCAAATAAACAGTTTCTCAGAAAAATTCTAAGTAATGCATAAAGTTTAGTTTATTATTATTTTAATTATTGTGCATGTGTAAAAATATCAAAATGACATTTTAATATATATATATATATATATATATATATATATATATATATATATATATATATATATATATATATATATATATATATATATATATATATATATATATATATATATATATATATATATATATTTATATATATATATATACAAAAATGATATTTTTTAGTATTAAATATAGTTCATAATGCAGTATAAAAATATTAAAATGGCATTGGTTGGAAAATCGGTTGGAAAGCTTCTTGAGTTTCCTCTGACATAAGACCAATAGGCAATATCATTTTTTCCACTATAAGGTATCCAGGTATCAATATTTTAATCAGACTTTGAACCATGTAATACCAGGAGTAAAATTTAACAAAATATCTGGCAGTTTCAAAACAATAAATATCTTTAAAAGATCTTGCTTGCCAAGATTTAATTTTTATTTTATAAGCAAAATGCAAAAAGCATTTAAAGTACCTTATCCAGGCATGCAAGCTTAAAAGACCATACAGGAAACCAATAGTGAAATTTAAACAATTTTAATGTTAGTTATTTTTATTGGTTCTGATGGTGATGACACACTGAACATGACTGAATAGATTCAGTTGCATTGTATAAGGCAGTTTGCACCCTTCCATCAATTATATTGATTTCAATATGGTTTGTTATAGATATTTTTGGCTCTTCAAAAACAATGATGGATGGAATCAAGTTTGCCATTTCATTCTTAAGTTTACATTCTTTATCAATCAATACAGATTTAGTTTCTTTTTCAAACTCACAGCTCAACAATAAATCAACAATAAATCAACAATAAATGGTTGACAATGGCTTTTCCAACAAAAAAAATTTTATGTATACTTATAAATAGCTTTAAAAAAAACAACACCAGTCAAAATAAAAAAAACTTTCATTTGATAAAGAATAAGAACTGCTATCTAACAATTTTTGTTTTTAAATGCTGTTGAGCCATCAAATCCAGCTTTGTAATGAAACATTTTATCAAACTCACAAGACAAAATAACTTCTTTTGGTAACTCTACTAATCTTTTACAAGTATGGTTTCCAGATCTTGTAAAAGATTAGTCGAATTATAGAATATTAGCTGAATAATCACTAACAAATATTTTATTAGGATAGCATAGTTCTTTTGCAGCTGTGAAGTTTAAATATACTGCGTACATAAAGATTTGTTTTTCTAAAGCATTAGTTATAAGAAGTCTTTGATAAGTTACAATCTAAAGGTAGTACTTAAGTCGCAGTCAAAGTTTGTTTATTATATTGTCACCATTTTTGTTAGTTTACTATTTATTTCTAAATTGTTATGAATAATTTCACCTTAATCTTTTCTATTATCATTATTGAATTTGATTTTATCAGCAAAAAATACTTGATTAGTTATACAACTATCTGAATTTTTACCTAATTTTCTATATTTTATTCTAAAAGAGCAGTCATCAAAGTCTACAATTGGTCAGCCAATAGAATTCCTGAGGTGGAGTGAATATCTTTAGTCACTCCCGATTCTCCTATGTCAAGCCATTCATTATACTTTTGCTCAAATTTGACAGCAACTCGTTTCTTAAAATTTTTTTTAAAAGTTCATCAATTTTTCCTTTATCTCCTCAACTTTCTTTTGATCAATAAAGTCATTTAAATCTGATTGTTTTTGATATATTTGTTTATTTTAAAAGATTTCATTTTACAGTTTAAAAAAATGTAACAATATAACGCAAATAAATATATATAATAATTTAAAAATAAAAGTAACCCTAACTTAAGTGACAACCCTAATGTATATTTCCATATGAGGATAAATGCAGTAGAGCTATTACTGGTAGTCAGTGCTCAAATTTAATAACATATTTTTATCATCTTTATTTCATCAAAATTAATAGAATTCATCAATAAATCTTTCGGCATTTTTAAGTTATTAATTGATTATTATATTGATGTAACTAAAAGTTACATCAATATTAAATATTAAAACCCCCTCAAAGTGAAAGGATTGTACAAAAAGTATTCAGCTTTAGAGCTTGACAGTGCTCAAAGTTGCAGGAAGTAGTAGTAGCCAAAACTAGTTTTACCTCATAGTGAACATGCTAATCATTTATTGTATATACTCATAGATGTGTTTGCTTTGTTCAAAAAATTATCAGGTTTTATACCTCTCTGATAATTGTGATAAAGATTTTTTACACATCATTTTAAACAAAAAAAAAAAAGGTAATTTAAGTTTATATTTTGTAATTATTGCAAGAAAATAATAAACTAAATTTATTTTATAATTTACTAAAAAAAGGGTCACGAACAAAATTAATTTAAAATTTGTGAAGAAATAAAGTTGAACATATTTTATATTGAATTTTTAGTTTGTTTTTAATATCTGAAATATTTTATTGAATTTTTGTTTGTTTGTTTTTAATATCTGAAAAAGACGCCTCTTTAAATTTTAACTGTAACAGTTTTTGAGTAACAAAAAAAATCCATTATAGAAATGTATATATACATTTATCTAAATTTTAAAAAAAAAACAAAAAACATGAATTTTCGACTTTTGTCACTCTATTTTGGCGGAATTCAAAGTCCACAAGCTAACTTATGCAAATTTAAACATTGTTTTTAAAAAATGCTCAAAATTAAAAACATTCAATGTTGCGGGTAAAACATAAATACATTTGTTTAAAGTTAACGCGAGTAATAGAGTAAATTTCCTATTTAAAGTTATTTAAATATTTAAATTCATATAAATGTTTCATAAATGAATATATTTGATTTAAAAAAACTCCTTCAGGGTTTTTTGAATATTGAAGTGAGAAGGGTTCTAGTATCGATTTATGGTATTAGCAACTCGATCTCTAGCTATTAAAACAGGGGTGTTTGAAAGGCGGCGCCGGCTACATTATGTCAAAGCACATTAATTTAATTGCAGGAAATAATTAAACCACAAAACCACAAATTAAAAGACTAGAATGTTTTTAAAAACATTCATTCATTATTTAAAAATAAAAATATTCTGAATGTGTTTTTGTTTTTTTTACTGTAAGACATGCGCGGAGTGTTGCTACATCGACTGACAAATAGCGTGACTCGCAACGGAATGCTGCTACATCGACTGAGGGTTTGGTTTGGGCAGACAGTCTATCAAATAAATATTAAAAATTTTTTTTTTACCCAAATTAACATTTAGGTAGCGCCGGAATATAAGCCAGTTACTAGTAGGCCAGCATTAGTCAGTTACGCCACCACCTATTAGTAACCTATTAAAACACTTACTATTAAAGTGGTTTATCCCTATAGATGCCACATACCAAGGTCCGTGAATACAAGTTCAGCTTGCTAAAGAGCAAGTGTAAGTGAGTTTTAGGAAGAACATAAATAATAGTAAAGTCATAAGTAGTCAAGTTAGAAAGATAGCATGGAGAAAGCGGACAGGTTACATTTATTGCAACCTGTGCATATATGCTAGCATATGCAACCTGTACATATATGCTAGCATATGCAACCTGTGCATATATGCTATGCATATGTGCATATTCTTGCATTTATGCTAGAATGTGCAAATTAACAATCGTTTTTCGCCTTTTTAGAGATATTTTACTCTCCCCTGTTAGGGAGGGGGTGTACGTGCAACGGGATCAACGACTTCTTCCGACATATAATAATGGCACAATACAAGTTCTTTAAAAGTAATAAAATAATCTATGTTTGCTTTCTATTTTTTTTCTATTCTACTTTTAAATATCATTTAAATAATAATGGAGCAATACAATATGAGAAAAGGGTTGCTCCTACAACAGAACAATCTATTCTCAGACCCCAATGATTTTTTTTTATATATCAAGA